TCTCTCTCTCTCTCTCTCTCTCTCTCTCTCTCTCTCTCTCTCTCTCTGTGTGTGTGTGTGCGCGTGCGTGCGTGTGCGCTCACTTGTGAGATAGAGAGAGAGACAGAGTTCAACTTTCAGGTTTTTAATGTTTTTTTGTTTTGTTTTTCTCTCATAAGGGAGTGCAAAAGCAGGAAACATTCAGTAGAAACTGTATTTCTGATTTTGAATGTTAGCCTTTGTGTGGGCTACCAATAAGGGTATGACAACTTTCTTGTAAATCTGGTGGCAGCAATGATCCTCAGCTCCTTGACAGCCAGGCAATTATGGAAAAAACAACAAACCCTAGCTGTGTTGCTAGGCTGTGATGTTCAATAAGGCAGGTGTATTAAATGCACTTTCAGCATGTGGTGGTTTGAATATACTTGGCCCATGGAAAGTGGCACTATTAGCAAATGTGGTCTTATTGAAGGAGGTGTAGCCTTTTTTAGAGGAAGTGTGTCACTGTGGAGGCGGGACTTTGAGGTCTCACATATACGCTCAAGTCTGATCCAGGGCCTCCTCCTGGCTGCCTGCGGAAGCCAGTCCCCTTCTGTCTGGATCAAGATGTAGGACTCTCCCGTCTCCTCCAGCACCATGTCTGCCTTCATGTTATGTCTGAGAGCAAGGTTGAGTTTATCCTGGTTGCCCTCTGCCTTGCTTGCTTGCCTTGTCTGTGACTTGATGAGCCAGCAAGAAGGCCTCCACCAGATGAGTCTCCTTGGTCTTGAAGCTTACACCCTTCAGAGCTGTGGGAACTGATGTTACTGTTGTTAGGACCACACCCCTTTGTGCGTGACATTCTATTGCAGTTGCTGAAGACGTACTATAGAACCAGATTATGCTGAGGTGGCGGTGGAAGGTTCCTGATGTAGCAACAACATCAATAACAGAACCCAGCAGGACAAACGGTGACTTTAACTTGAGATGGTTGAAAAAACTATTACTTAATCTCAATTTTAACAAAAAGGGAAAACAGCAAAAGCCACCTGTAAGGCTTCCCTGGGGGAAAGGAGGCACTTGCTCAAGTCAATCTGTCTGTCCGACCTTGTCTCTACCACTGCTTTTGCTCACTGAATGGCTGAGATGAAGTTGTCAGGCCTGGGGGTGTCCATAAGCTCAAAAGCCTTTTAAAATGTTGGAGAGCCAGATAAAATGGGAGGCCTTGCTTCATTGCATGTGCTTGGTAGCCACAGAGGGAAGGCTGCCAGTAGTGGTGTCTCCAAGGGATGAAATAAGAGATATGCAGGGGAACACACTACCCAGTCTGTTTACTGATCATAGCCAAAGCTAAAAAGACAGCAAATCCCTAGAGGTGAGTGCACAGTCCTGTGGCCTTCCAGTAGTGGACGCCCCTTCCAGCCCTAGACACGCCCCTTCCAGCCCTAGACACGCC